ATAGCATATTTTTATAGCATATAGGATAATAACAAGGTATTAAATTTATAGCATATTTTTATGACATCCAGGGTAATAACAAGGTGTCAGATTTATAGCATATTTTCATAACATCCAGGGTAATAACAAGGTATCAAATTTATAGCATATTTTTATAACATCCAGGGTAATAACAAGGTGTCAAATTTATAGCATATTTTTATAACATCCAGGGTAATAACAAGGTGTCAAATTTATAGCATATTGTTATAACATCTAACATAATAACAAGATGTCAAATTTATAGCAAATTTTTATAACATCCAGGATAATAACAAGGTATTAAATTTATAGCATATTTTTATGACATCTAGGGTAATAACAAGGTGTCAAATTTATAGAATATTTTCATAAGATCCAGGGTAATAACAAGGTGTCAAATTTATAGCATATTTTTATAACATCAAGGGTAATAACAAGGTGTCAGATTTATAGCATATTTTCATAACATCCAGGGTAATAACAAGGTATCAAATTTATAGCATATTTTATAACATCCAGGGTAATAACAAGGTGTCAAATTTATAGAATATTTTCATAAGATCCAGAGTAATAACAAGGTGTCAAATTTATAGCATATTTTTATAACATCAAGGGTAATAACAAGGTGTCAAATTTATAGCATATTTTCATAACATCCAGGGTAATAACAAGGTATCAAATTTATAGCATATTTTTATAACATCCAGGGTAATAACAAGGTGTCAAATTTATAGAATATTTTCATAAGATCCAGAGTAATAACAAGGTGTCAAATTTATAGCATATTTTTATAACATCAAGGGTAATAACAAGGTGTCAAATTTATAGCATATTTTCATAACATCCAGGGTAATAACAAGGTGTCAAATTTATAGCATATTTTTATAACATCCAGGGTAATAACAAGGTGTCAAATTTATAGCATATTGTTATAACATCTAACATAATAACAGGATGTCAAATTTATAGCAAATTTTTATAACATCCAGGATAATAACAAGGTATTAAATTTATAGCTTATTTTTATGACATCCAGGGTAATAACAAGGTGTCAAATTTATAGAATATTTTCATAAGATCCAGGGTAATAACAAGGTGTCAAATTTATAGCATATTTTTATAACATCAAGGGTAATAACAAGGTGTCAAATTTATAGCATATTTTCATAACATCCAGGGTAATAACAAGGTATAAAATTTATAGCATATTTTTATAACATCCATGGTAATAACAAGGTGTCAAATTTATAGAATATTTTCATAAGATCCAGGGTAATAACAAGGTGTCAAATTTATAGCATATTTTTATAACATCAAGGGTAATAACAAGGTGTCAAATTTTTAGCATATTTTCATAACATCCAGGGTAATAACAAGGTATCAAATTTATAGCATATTTTTATAACATCCAGGGTAATAACAAGGTGTCAAATTTATAGCATATTTTTATAACATCCAGGGTAATAACAAGGTGTCATATTTATAGCATATTGTTATAACATCTAACATAATAACAAGATGTCAAATTTATAGCAAATTTTTATAACATCCAGGATAATAACAAGGTATTAAATTTATAGCATATTTTTATGACATCCAGGGTAATAACAAGGTGTCAAATTTAAAGAATATTTTCATAAGATCCAGGGTAATAACAAGGTGTCAAATTTATAGCATATTTTTATAACATCAAGGGTAATAACAAGGTGTCAAATTTATAGAATAATTTTATAACATCCAGGGTAATAACAAGGTGTTAAATTTATAGCAATTTTTATAACCACTAGGGTAATAACAAGGTGTCAAACTTATAGCATATTTTTATAACATCCAGGGTAATAACAAGGTGTCAAATTTATAGCATATTTTTATAACATCAAGGGTAATATCAAGGTGACAAATTTATAGCATATTTTTATGACATCCAGGGTAATAACAAGGTGTAAAATTTATGGTATATTTTTATAACATCCAGGGTAATAACAAGGTGTCCCATTTATAGCATATTTTTATAACATCCAGGGTAATAACAAGATGACAAATTTATAGCATATTTTTATAACATCCAGGGTAATAACAAGGTGTCAAATTTATAGCATCTTTTTATAACATCCAGGGTAATAACAAGGTGTCAAATTTATAGCATATTGTTATAACATCTAGGGTAATAACAAGACGTCAAATTTATAGCATATTTTTATAACATCCAGGATAATAACAAGGTATTAAATTTATAGCATATTTTTATGACATCCACGGTAATAACAAGGTGTCAAATTTATAGCATATTTTCATAAGATCCAGGGTAATAACAAGGTGTCAAATTTATAGCATATTTTTATAACATCAAGGGTAATAACAAGGTGTCAAATTTATAGCATAATTTTATAACATCCAGGGTAATAACAAGGTGTTAAATTTATAGCAATTTTTAAAACCTCCAGGGTAATAAAAAGGTGTCAAACTTATAGCATATTGTTATAACATCCAGGGTAATAACAAGGTGTCAAATTTATAGCATATTTTTATAACATCCAGGGTAATATCAAGGTGACAAATTTATAGCATATTTTTATGACATCCAGGGTAATAAAAAGGTGTCAAATTTATGGTATATTTTTATGACATCCAGGGTAATAACAAGGTGTCCAATTTATAGCATAGTTTTATAACATCCAGGGTAATAACAAGATGACAAATTTATAGCATATTTTTATAACATCTAGGGTAATAACAAGGTGTCAAAATTATAGCCTATTATTATTATTATTATTATTATTATTATTATTATTATTATTATTATTATTATTATTAATTTTATTATTCTATTTAAAGAGGGTAAATCAATTAGCTAAGAACTAATATAACTTTAGGCCCTCATTCAAAGGAATTTACTTATTTTTGCTGCATCCCTGAAGCCACTGTATATACTGGATTTGGAAAAAGGAAATAGAGTTGGCCTTTCCTATCTCAACTGGAATACTATTCCTGAGCAAAGTTCCAGAGTATTGGAAACTTTTGTTAAATAATTCCTTATTTGGTTTGGAAATTTTGTAATGTTTGGTAGACATTGATCGCAGGTGGGGAGTATTTCCAAGTAGTCTATACTTGAATAGTGATTGTAAATATTCCGGAGCACTATTATTGGCTATCCTGTACATTAATTTATAACATCCAGGGTAATAACATGGTGTCAAATTTATAGCATACTTTTTATGACATCCAGGGTAATAACAAGGTGTCAAATTTCTAGCATATTTTTATAACATCCAGGGTAATAATATAGTGTCAAATTTTTGGTTTTACAGGGCTCTCAGTATTAAAATAGAATCTCTAATGATTATGAAAATTGTTTCTAATGAGAAGTATTAATGTAAGCTTTATTTAGCCATCAGTTCAGGATGTGCCATAGTTTGATACACTGGTAGCTTTAATCAGCCTCCTCTTTTAAACTGTCGGTATATCAGCACATATGGTTACAACAGATTGCATTTATTTCATTGACTTTACTCCACAAAAGGAGATGGTGAGTTGTTGAATACTGTTTGAGATCACATGTGGCTTACACAGACTGCAAGGCTGTGTGGATTTTTTTGTCTCTGTACTACATCATATGTGGAATTACATGGCTTGGTATTTGGGCCTAAATACTATATCATATGTGGGATTATATAAAATAGGCAACACGTTTTGGAGTACACTGAAGAGACAGTATTGTTCATTTTTGATGTAAAGCAAAGGTCTGTATATAGAAGCGTTCTGAAAGAAAAGTTCTAAATACACCCAAATAAATCCCAAGCCCTTGATCATGTACTGGATGAAACATCTTCAGGTATGATTTACATATCATCCATAAACAACTAAGCATTGGTCGAGTTTAAATCTTACTAATGACCTAAATATCTGAAGAAGGACCTGCTCCACATATAGAAATAAAAACAAAATTCTAAACTGTTTCTAAGGATGAGACTCCATATTGTATGTGTCCAAAGTGCTCAACTTTACAGATCACTGACATCTGACCTCTTTTCAAGTAGGCTAGATGTTTATTATTTTATTCTCTATAATGAAACAGTCAGTATTAAATATTAAATATGATTGTTTTAAATATGCATTTATCAATGTGCAATTTTTCATAGCAAACTGTATTAGGATAATGTCAACTGAAGGCATGTCAGCTGTATTGGGAATTACTGTCAACTTGAGGCATGGCAGCCAGCTGTATTAGGATAATGTGAACTGAAGGCATGTCAGTCCACTGTATTAGGATCCTGTCAATTGGAGACATGTCTGCTAACTGTATTAGGATACTGTCAACTGGAGACATGTCCACTAACTGTATTAGGATACTGTCAACTGGAGACATGTCCACTAAATATATTAAGATCCTGTCAACTGGAGACATGTCCACTAACTGTATTAGGATACTGTCAACTGGAGACATGTTCGCTAATTGTATTAGGATACTGTCAACTGGAGACATGTCCACTAACTGTATTAGGATACTGTCAACTGGAGACATGTCCACTAAATTTATTAGGATCCTGTCAATTGGAGACATGTCCACTAACTGTATTAGGATACTGTCAACTGGAGACATATCCACTAAATGTATTAGGAAACTGTCAACTGGAGATATGTCCACTAACTGTATTAGGATACTGTCAACTGGAAGCATGTCAACCAGCTGTATTATGATACTGTCCACTAATGTCTTTTTGTTCTAATTGCTAACTCACTTTGCAGTGTGGCAAGATACATGTACTGACTTACAGTGGAGTGGAGAGAGATATAAGGTAAAGGAACATGTGAAATCTATTTTTTGGACTTCAGAGTTTGCTTTTAGGCATCTTGTGACTGAGAACCCTTCATTATTACAATAAACCCATAAAAAGGCACATTTTATTTTTGCTTTGTTCTTCAAGTTCATACAGGGAAAGAAAAAATGTATGAGAGTGAGAGTGATAGAGAAAGACATAGACCACTCTGGTGGCCTAGTGGTTAGATCGTCAGCCTTGGATGCAGGAGGTCATGGGTTCAATCCCCGGTCAAGTCATACCAAAGACTTACAAAAATAGTACTAATAGCTACCTCACCTAATGCTCAGCATTAAGAGGTTAGTGTTAGGGCTGACGGCCTTGTGTCAGGATAATGTGACTGGGTGGGACATTATGCTACATGTCTGCGGCATGATGCCCCAGTGCTAGACATCACTATAAACTGCCACACTGCAGACATCATAGCAATATGACTGAAAAATTGTTAGAGCTATGTTAAAAATCATAATCACATCACATCACATCATGACAACGCACAAAATGAATGCAGTATACCAGTAAATATAAATTTTACCAAAGAACAGATTTGGTTCCTAACTGGATACTAAGTAATCCCGGAGGTGAAGCCACCACTTTGGTAAAGTTATCATGATTGTGGGGGAAATCAAATTTCTCTCTCACACATTGGAATAAAATTCTCAATTATAAAATATATCCTCAAGTCTACTCAAACATACAAGTGTCTCTGAGGTTCAAGATCAGCAACCACTGTCTCTGACTACCCAAGATATTTTGGACCTATTTTATTTCTTGATTCAGTAATTAGTTTTCCATATCTATTGATGAGGTCTGAAAATCTTGAGTAATCTGACTACTTGGATTCTGTGCATAGACATCAGCTGCCATTTACATTTCAGCTTTATCTAATACATCAGTCATTTTTCTATGATGTCATGGATACTTCCAGAAAACTCGTTTTACTAGAGGGAATAGACCCATCAAATATGCCATGAACTGAATATATAAATGCCAGTTGTTTACATTGGGGTATGTGTAATGTGGGTGACCAAATTTGCCTCCACAGAAATGTCATAGAGGCATCAAAATTTGCATTGCAATATGGTAGGAATGTGCAGATGCACTTGTACTGCAATGGGTTATTGTGTTTTACAAGCTCTCACATAGGGAAGACAGCCCTCATATAAAACTTATCTGGGGTAGAGAATGCTACCATGACTTTGGCGACTGACCTTTGTTGCACAAGATTACAGCTTAAATCAACTAGAGGAACAAAGGGGCAACTATCTTCAAAGAGATGAATCAAGTAACTGGTAAAACCAGAAGAGATTGTTTATTCACACCAAAGACATAGCTTAGCCATAGGAGAAAGAAATACGACATGCATATGAGAAACTATGCAGACTACAGTTCACAAAGACCCCAGTATCAAAGCACGGCACCTGTCCAAAGCAGACCCTTATTCTACCAGTTTTTTTTTATGAGCACATCGTAACTTGCCAGGATGTTGACCAAAGGTCTAGTAAGTTAGGGAGTGAATTCTAATAGGCATACTCTAAAATGCTAGTCATTCACAAGAGCGGGAATTAAGACTTGAAAAGCTTCTTAAAGGTAAGAATGCTTCTCCAAAATTTATTGAACATTACCAACTGAGAATTTAAGTTTATATGTAGTATGTTGAAATTTATTACTAGAATTATGTTGGCATGCAGAAGGTACCTTTATTAGAGTTAATCTTCCCTACATATTTGAGTTATTTACCTATCATAACATTCTGTAGAGAAATTAGTAGTATACAAGACTTAATTATAGAATCTTAGCCTGAGACAAAATTGTGTAATTTGCTGATGTGTGCATCATACTGAATTATTATTGGCATTTATTAATGAGTTATGTTAGGACTTATGTTTTAATTTTGAATTTGAATACATAATTGTGAACTATATCAAGTTAGGCATTTTAACATAGTGAACATATTGTGAAATATCTGCATATTTGCATTGTAACACTGTGTGTACCTTGTAAGATTTGTAAGGTAAGGAATGGGTCTGATTGCTGTGATGTTTGTACTTACTTTGTACTATGTCACAGAAGTTGTTGATGTATGTATCAGGAGTCATTAATATTATAGCAAGTTGTATTATTACCCTTATTTATCATAAAAGTATGTATAGAATATTTTGATGTGAGTGTATGTGTAACCTAATGATTTTAATTGTCAGCATGCTGATGAAAAGTTGTTTGAGGGCATGAGACTGCTTAGGATGAAAGAGACACTAGACTATATGTTCCTTATTAAGCACTGTTTGGAGTTGTTCAGGTTGGACCAAGCACCACCCAAAGGTGACAAAGTAGGGACCAATTGTTATAGTGGTCACTGGACTGGATAAAATAATGGAGATCAAAGTTTGAAGGCAGAGAGGAGAATGGAAGTAAGTAGAAGGGTGAAGGACATAATCGAAGGATGGAGGGGTATTGGAGTAGCAGTCAAGAAAAAGGAAATAATACAGATGAGTAATGTAGCAGAGACAGAGAGAAACATTCTCACATTGCACAGAAAATGATGAAATTGGCAGATTAAATAGGTCAACTGAGTGGAGAAATTGTGGAAATTTACTTGTGTTGTTTGAATATTTAGGTCTGTTATTAAATTGTTATTCCTCACATAACAATTTTTGGTATATTATCCACCTAAACATTGCTGACTGGGTGCTCAGAGCTATATATCCATCTATATAAAAATTGTAAATTGTAAGTCCTCCTAAGATATTAGCAAAAATACCCCTGGAGACAGTGTTAAATAAACAATGATGAGTATCCAAACATTTCCAATACTATAATTACTAGGTATTATTAGCCACCCTTTTACAAAAGCTTTGTTATGCCAATACTAACAACATGGACCTGTGAATATTGATTTTAAAACATACTGTGATAGATGTTTTATCAATAAATTTATCTGAACCTCCCTTATTGTTAGGAGTGATTATGCTATTCTACTTTAATTATACACCTTGTGCTGAAATAAAGCAATCACATCTAAAAAAGCATACATCCATGGAATATTTGTGAATTGAGACTTACCAATAAAGCATACATCCATGGAATATTTGTGAATTGAGACTTACCAATAAAACATACATCCATGGAATATTTGTGAATTGAGACTTACCAATAAAGCATACATCTATGGAATATTTGTGAATTGAGACTTACCAATAAAGCATACATCTATGGAATATTTGTGAATTGAGACTTACCAATAAAGCATACATCCATGGAATATTTGTGAATTGAGACTTACCAATAAAGCATACATCCATGGAATATTTGTGATTTGAGACTTACCAATAAAGCATACATCCATGGAATATTTGTGAATTGAGACTTACCAATAAAGCATACATCTATGGAATATTTGTGATTTGAGACTTACCAATAAAGCATACATCTATGGAATATTTGTGAATTGAGACTTACCAATAAAGCATACATCCATGGAATATTTGTGAATTGAGACTTACCAATAAAGCATACATCCATGGAATATTTGTGTATTGATTCTTACCAATAAAGCATACATCCATGGATTATTTGTGAATTGAGACTTACCAATAAAGCATACATCCATGGAATATTTGTGAATTGAGACTTACCAATAAAGCATACATCCATGGAATATTTGTGAATTGAGACTTACCAATAAAACATACATCCATGGAATATTTGTGAATTGAGACTTACCAAAAAAGCATACATCTATGGAATATTTGTGAATTGAGACTTACCAATAAAGCATACATCCATGGAATATTTGTGAACTGAGACTTACCAATAAAGCATACATCCATGGAATATTTGTGAATTGAGACTTACCAATAAAGCATACATCCATGGAATATTTGTGATTTGAGACTTACCAATAAAGCATACATCTATGGAATATTTGTGAATTGAGACTTACCAATAAAGCATACATCCATGGAATATTTGTGAATTGAGACTTACCAATAAAGCATACATCCATGGAATATTTGTGATTTGAGACTTACCAATAAAGCATACATCCATGGACTATTTGTGAATTGAGACTTACCAATAAAGCATACATCCATGGAATATTTGTGAATTGAGACTTACCAATAAAGCATACATCCATGGAATATTTGTGATTTGAGACTTACCAATAAAGCATACATCCATGGAATATTTGTGAATTGAGACTCACCAATAAAGCATACATCTATGGAATATTTGTGATTTGAGACTTACCAATAAAGCATACATCTATGGAATATTTGTGAATTGATTCTTACCAATAAAGCATACATCCATGGATTATTTGTGAATTGAGACTTACCAATAAAGCATACATCTATGGAATATTTGGGAATTGAGACTTACCATTAAAGCATACATCCATGGAATATTTGTGAATTGAGACTTACCAATAAAGCTGGTGTAAATTCGATGTGTTCCAGTGGAAGAATCCTCAAACAGACTCAGTACATCTGTCACTATTTGACTCCTTTGAACCCTCAGCCTCTGTGGTGGGTGTTTCAGCATGGAATGTAGACTATTTAGATCTACAAAAGGTAAAATATTGCTTTTAGAATTAAATACAGTGGTCCCCATTTTATTATGAGACCACTCCTTTAGCAGAAGAAGACATTATCTTATTAAAGAGGTGGCCTCAAATGAAGGAGACAAGCAAGATAGCTTTATAACTGAGGTGGCTTCCCTGGTTAGGAGCCTTATAAAATGACAATGATTTAATCTCTTTAAGTTCTTGAGATTTCACACACAATTTTGTGAGATATAATCTTAATAAGACATTTTTAAAAGTCTTACATCATTGAATAAAAAAACTATAAGCAAATCATTGCATTGAATTTTGTCACTGTGTCTTATTTCAACAAAATTCATAATCTTGTGCACCATGGAACTGCACACAGTTATTGTGATACACATTTGCATTTGTTTTTTAAATTGTTGCAGTAATGTTTCTAGATGTTATTTTCATAATGGCAATAATTGGAGAGGAAAATCTGACTGTAGAAGATAGGAATCGCTGCAATGAAATTTAATGTATATATGAAGGAAAAATTAAATGACAGTATCCAATTATATGGGATCTTCTTTATTTTATAAAATGCATCAGACATTTTAATTAGACAAATAAATCTGAGCCAATGAATTTATCTACCATAATATATATGGCATGAAGTTTTTGCATCAGTCTCTCAGCATTTTAATTAGG